GTTTAATGACCTATTTAGATGAGAGTGGGACTTATCCCGAGTTTATTGCTTGGATGTAATTTAAATTTTTTTGTGACTTAAGTGCTCTGTACTGTCCTGTATATGCAGGTCAGGGTTTTTTTTTTTGGTAGCTATTGGGTTGACGTTTATTCCTTCAACCACGGATTCTCATCTTGGATTGGGTTTCGTTGCGATGATATCGTCGACTCGACCAAAGGGAAGAAATACAGATGGCGAGCCATGAAAAGTATCAAATAAAGAGATTTACTCATCTGAACAGTTGGAGTGATTTTTAAATGTTTTTGTCTTTGATAAAGACTTGTAGATCTGAACTTTACTGGATAACTCTTTAAATGAAACTGAGGAGAAAAAAACGTTATTGATAAAAATCTGGACATTAATGGACATTTTGTATGGACATTTTGAGAATATGCTATAGGAACAAATGCGAACAAATGGTTATGATTAAATTTTTTTTCTTATGTGATTTTTCCTGTAAAATTTATAGGTTTTGAAGTTAAACATTGAAATTTAAACTGTAACATAAAAGGAAATTTAAAATAACTTAAATTAGCATTTAAAAACCTACGAGAATAGGATCTAAGCCTAAAATCCTAAAAGAAAAAAAGGTGCTCAACAAAGGGTAAAGGTAACAGAATGGTATTTTTTTTCTTTTCTAACCAGGCCTGGTGAACCATTTCGTTTCAAAAGTGTAAAGTTTTGTTCCTATTTGGAATTATAAGGTGACTGTATATATCGTTCTCTTGTTTCTTCCTTAATTCACACATTTATATATAAACATAAGTTAATATTTCTTACAAGAGTGTGTGTCTGCCTCTGCCCTAAGACGCTTAAATTTCCTAGATTTCTAAGACCCATATTCATATTGACAACAATTGTTTAGTTCTTTTCAAATTTATGATTTAATAGTGACAGCCAGGTGTTACATAATACTTGGCGAGCCAGCCAGGAGGGCAGAGAGGCAACTTAATACAGCAATATACACTGAACTTCAATTAAATTGAAACAATGGAGATTGTAGAAGAAAAAAACATTAAAATCCCAAACGCAATCCTCATCAGTGGAATAACAGGGACAGAATTAGATGAGGAGATAATCGATTTTGTGAAGGAATATGGTTCAATTGCTATAATTATTCCTTTCACTGATCCTAACACAGAATCCCAGTCAGTAATATAGAGTATGCTTCTGGTCAGGCAGTGCAAAACATCCGTGATTCGGAGGTTTCTTTTTGTGTTGTGCTCAGTCAAATACATGGGTCACATAGTTTCTGACAAAGGAGTTAGTACAGATCCTGACAAAGTAGCGGCTGTAAAAACCTGGCCAATACCAAGAAATTTGAAGGAGTAGAAATCTTTCCTTGGATTCATCGGCTATTATCGCCGTTTCATCAAAGACTTCTTCAGGAAGATTAGGCCCCTAAATGAATTGACTTCTGGATATCCACCAACCAGAAACAAACTTAAGTTGCAGAGTGGCACTAATTACAGAAATCCAAAGGAGCCTTTTGACGGAAGGTTGACCATTGCATTTCAGAATGCATTTGAGTTGATCATTGAAGAACTTACAACAGCCCCAGTGTTGGGCTTTGCTAACCCAAAACAGCCTTACATCTTACACACAGATGCGAACACAACAGGGTTAGGGGCTGCCCTTTACCAGGAACAAGAAGGGGCGATGAGGGTTATCGCTTATGCAAGCAGGGGGCTTTTCCGTAGTGAATCAAAATACCCTGCTCACAAATTGGAATTCCTGGCATTGAAGTGGGCAGTTGTGGATAAATTTCATGATTACCTGTATGGGGGTTCTTTTACTGTAGTAACGAACAGTAATCCCCTGACATATGTGCTCTCCACAGCTAGACTTGATGCAACTAGCTATAGGTGGCTAGCTGCGCTATCAACCTATAACTTCAAGTTGCACTACAGATCCGGGAAGCAGAACAAAGCTTGTCCCGAAGGCCACACGGGGCCCTGGTAAATGATGTGGTATCCAGAAAAGTGCAGGACTGCATTTCAAACTTTGTGGAGAGCCATCTGACAGACTGCAAAGAGGAGATTAGTGTTGATGTAGTGCAAGCTATTTGTGATAGTCGACTCATCCCAATGTCTGAGCCCACAAATGATTCCATTGCATTCATTCATTCTTTAACAATGCATCCAACCGCTATTCCAGATATTTACACACAGGGAGACCAATGTGGGGGGTTGCCTGTTGTTCCTCAGGTGTCCAAATCTGAAATTCAATCCTTACAAGCAGCAGATCACTGTGTCAGTTCAGCCATTGAATATATAAAAACTGGAGAGATTCCACCTACCTCAGTGAGACACATGCTCCCCAGGTTGCCTTACCTCCTAAGGGAAAAATATCGCCTTGAGTTACATGATGGAATCCTGTGTAGGAAAAGAAAACCTGGGGAGAAGACTATTTACCAAATTGTTTTTCCTGAGAAGCTCCACTCTGATGTTCTTATGGCTTTGCATGATGACCTTGGTCACATGGGCATTGATCATACTTTAGACTTAGTCAGGAGCCTATTCTACTGGCCAAAGATAGCTTTTGATGTAGAACAAAAGATCAAGACGTGATCGTTGTTTGAAAAGGAAGGTCTTACCAGAAAGATCTGCTCCACTTGTGAATATTGTGACTGCCAGGCCTCTTCAACTGGTGTGTATGGATTTCCTTACCTTAGAACCCGACAGTACAAATACAAAAGATGTGTTGGTAATAACAGACCATTTTACCAAATATGCGTTGGCCATCCCCACACCAAATCAAAAGGCTAGGACCATGCAAAGTGCCTGTGGGAAAATTTCATTTCTAACTACGGCTACCAAGAACACCTCCACAGTGATCAGGGGCCAGACTTTGAGTCCCATGTGATAAAAGAACTGTGTGAAATAGCTGGAATACAAAAGACTCGGACAACCCCGTATCATCCCAGGGGAAACCCTGTTGAGAGATTTAATAGGACATTACTGAACATGCTGGGAACTTTGGAAAACAAAAGCAAGAGTCATTGGAAAGAGTTTGTGAAACCCCTGGTTCACGCATATAATTGTACCAGGAACGAGACAACTGGTTTCAGCCCATATGAATTGATGTTTGGACGTCAGCCAAGGCTTCCAATTGACCTAGCCTTTGGACTGTCTGTTCAAGGAAGAGTGTCTCATTCCCAGTATGTACAAAATTTGAAATCCAGTCTAGAAGAGAGTTTCAAGATAGCAACAGAAAACTCAGGAAAAGTTGCAGAACGGGTTAAGACCAGATTCGACAAGCATGGGACAGCTTCACAGCTGCAAAACGGAGACGGCGTTTTGGTACGAAATGTACGTCTACGTGGAAAGAACAAGATTGCTGATAGGTGGGAAGAACAGGTTTACACTATGATGAGTCAAAGTGGGGACTTACCTGTTTACACTGTATGCCCTGAAGGGCAGTCAGGGCCTGTCCGAACCTTGAATAGGGATCTGTTGCTGCCTTGTGGGTTTCTTCCTTCCAAAGTACACAAGCATGTGTCTTTGGACCCAGAACCAAGACGCAGAATTTGTGAGAGATGAAAACGTGAATCCCCCAATAATGAAATGCTTGATTCTGATGAAGGTGAGGATTGTTACCTATATGAGATTGAGTCTTTCGGATCCCAAGGGCCACATATAGAACAATCTGATAAAATGGGTGAAGTTGCTGAGCAAAGTACAGTCCAGCCAAACATAGCTTATCCAGATGGAAACAGTGGAATTGGAGATTATGCGGCTGTGGAAAAATGGGATACTCTTGGTGACTTACCTGAAGATGAATCCATTGTTGGAAGTGACTTACCTGTAGATTAATCCACTGTTGAAAGTAACTTACCTGTAGACGAATCAGCTATCGGAAATGACTTACCTGTGAGTCCTGAAGTCGAACCTGTGGGAGAGAAAGCTAACGAGATAAGTGAAACACTTGTTCCGTTACCGCATGGTAAAGAGAGAAATGGGCAGGAAAAACGTCCCAGTGATGAAGGGTTGAGCAAAGAAGTTACCAGTTGTAACTTAGAGGATGATGATGAGCCTGAATTGAGAAGGTCTTCTAGACAACGAGAGAGCCCTAACATCCTAACTTACCCCGAGCTGGGAAACCCTCTAGTGACAAAAGTTCAGTCTCTTCTACAAGGCCATAATGTTGCACTTGTAGAGTCCCTTCAAGATCTTACTCATACAGGACAGGCTGTAGGCAAGGGCAGTGGGATCCTTAACAGTATACAACGGGACTTGCATAGATTCAAGGGGGAAGGGTGTAGCCAAAGCTCAGATTTAAGTTGAAATTAGAGCTACATTATATACATTTAGGTGAACAAAATGCACACAAATTAAAAAAAACACAGGCAAAGTGTAATTAAATAAAACTTTATTACAGTCATTTTCACTATAATTGACAATGTTGGATAAATTGTCCTATTGAATTTTTTATTTTTTTGCAAAGTAGTGAAAGGTGACCAATTGGAGTGAATTCCGATGTTAGCCCCACCCATCTAGACCAGAGATGAGCGAGTGTGTTTGTTGTCCAGCAGAGAACATTCTAGACCTGAAAAAAAGAGAAAAAAGTTTGGTTAAATAATATTTTATCCTAACATTTTAGTTTAGAGAATTGTTTTTGGAAAGATTTATGGCTGATAACTTATCGTCCTGCTAAAATAGAACGATAAGGAGATCTTACCTGATTTCTGACGCACGGATAGAAAGGTCGTCAAACTATTCAAGGATTTGAAAGACATACATATTGTGAACGTCAATCGGATTACTAAATCCATGTAAATGTGGAATTGGTAAGTTTTTCCAAGTTTTGTTATTTAATTGGTTATTTTTCTAACATTTGTAATCTGATGAATTGATGATGCAGTTAACTGTGTTTCACTGTTCATGAAGCCGGCATTTTTTTGTTTAATGACCTATTTAGATGAGAGTGGGACTTATCCCGAGTTTATTGCTTGGATGTAATTTAAATGGTTTTGTGATTTAAGTGGACTGTACTGTCCTGTATATGCAGGTCGTTTTTTTTTTGTAGCTATTGGGTTGATGGTTATTCCTTCAAACACGGATTCTCATCTCGGATTGGGTTTCGTTGCGATGATATTGTCGACTCCATCAAAGGGAAGATTTCTTCCAGTTGTAACCAGCCTGATGGCGAGCCAACCATGAAAAGGATCAAAGACACTTATTTACTCTTCTGAACGGTTGGAGTGATTTTTTAATGTTTTTTGTCATTGATAAAGACTTGTAGATCTGAACTTTACTGGATAACTGTTTAAACGGAACTGAGGAGAAAAAAAAGACGTTATTGATAAAAATCTGGATATTAATGGACATTTTGTATGGACATTTTGAGAATATACTATGGGAGTTATGATTTAATTTTTTTTCTTGTTATGTGATTTTCCTGTAAAGTTTATAGTACGGGTTTGAAGTTCAACATTGAAATTTAAACTGTAACATAAAGGGAAATTTAAAGGAACTTAAATTAGCATTTAAAACCTACGAGTAGAATAGGATCTAAGCCTAAAATCCTAAACGAAAAAAAGGTGATCAACAAAGGGTAAAGGTAACAGAAGGGTATTTTTTTTCTTTCCAAACCAGGCCTGGTGAACCATTTTTTTTCAAAAGTGTAAAGTTTTTTTCCTATTTGGAATTATAAGGTGACTGTATATATCGTTCTCTTGTTTCTTCCTTAATTCACTCTACTTCATTTATATATAAACATAAGTTAATATTTCTTACAAGAGTGTGTGTGTCTGCCTCTGCCCTAAGACACTTAAATTTCCTAGACTTCTAAGGCCCATATTCATATTGACAACAATTGTTTAGTTCTTTCCAAATTTATGATTTAATAGTTACAGCCAGGTGTTACACTTGCTTTAAAAAGTTTTCTCTTGTTCAGTAACATTTTTTTTTGTTGTTGTTGATTGCAGGCTTCTTACACTGCTATTGTTTTCCTTGGAATTATTTCTCAGTTCCATACAAATTTAAGCTTTTCCTGGTTCATTCCATGTTTTATAGGCAACCTCAGTTAGTTTAAATTAATCGAGTTTATTTTAGTTCAGGACTCCACTGTCCAGTGGCCTGGGGTGTATTCCAGAAAGCGGGTTTTGTTGGAAACTCAGAGTTTGTTAACCCCAGAAAAGGGAAACTCAGTGTTTTCGGTTTCAATAAAAGACAAAACTAAACCTCTCGGTAAGTTACCATAGTAACTTACTCTGTGAACCTAACCTGGTCGGGAGCAGGTTTTCTTCGATAAACCCAGAGTTTCTTTCGGTCTCCTCGCCCTTTTTAAAGCGTAAGCAGTTTAAATACCTCATTCATTCATTCACGCTGCAAAAATTGCTTTTATTGCTGATATTTTTGCCTTATTTCAAATACAAATATCTAAAAATTCTTAAATCATGATGCATTCTATATAACATATATACGATATTTAGTCTTGTTTCCTGGGGTAAACAAGTAAAATTAATTGCCATTAATTCAACATTGAAATACATTGTAATGTAAGGTAAGAAAAATAATCTTAATGAAAATGGAAACAAGATTATTTTTCTCACCGGACCACTTTCATTTTCATCATGCAGACACTGTAAATGTGACAAAAATGGCATGTCTTTATATAAGGGATCCTGTAGATGAGGATGCTGCATTAATTAGCGGGGAGTTACAGTTACATCAGGAGAGGATTTAATTTAATTAATTTATTTTGACATATCCACATGCATATTTATTTGAACGGTACCATTTTGAAATGGCTTGATAATATCTGGTTGCGACCTTTAAGTAACCTAATAATTAGAATTTCCTTTAGGATTTCCAGTGTGTTTGGATGCATTGATTACACACATATTCTCACCATCGCACCTTCCGAAAATGAAGCTGATTACTGCATGGAATGGAAGGATGCAAAATGGAAGGGTAGTGCGAGATATCTATGCCGTAACCACCACCACAGCTGTTAAATAAACACAAATTATTCACAGTTCATTTGGTTATCTTTATGTTCTACAAATACAAAAGCAACAAATAATTTTTTTCCCTGTTGGATTTTAATATTGGGATTGTGACCATCTCCTCTTCATCTCTCAGTGATGCTGGTGCAGGTTCTCCTCCCATTTTATGAGTCTCTGCATTCTTGCTGGCTACTGAATAGAAGTTAAATGTTTTTCATTACCCTAAGTATGAAATGTAGCATGTTGGATTAGAGAACATTTATTTATGTGAAAAAGCATTAGACTATGTGGAAAAAGCTGCTGCATATTGAAATATATATACACTGGATGATATTTATTGAATGTCAAATATTTGTAAAGTCATGTAATGTTAGCCTACACCCATTTCACGCTTGAAGCTTTAGCTGATTGAATTATGTTTTTATAAGTTATTTTTCTGCTGCCACATTTTTTTATTTTATTTTTTTTTGCCTGTGGGATACCATGAAAATGAATATTAGTTCAATAAATGACCTTTCTGTCAGTTTTCACCTGATAACATTGATTTTTAATTAAAGTTACGTATTCCGTAGTATGCGGAAGTCTTTTTGGCGGGAGCTGTTGCCATGATGAATCGTAATTTCGGAGCTCCATTAATCATGGCTTTTCACAGTCGTGGTGCACACGCTAAACTCAGAGTCAACCTACTCTGAGTGGACTGAACTAACTCTGTTCAGCTGTTCTGAAACCGAAAACTCAAGAGTTTCCAATCTCAAGGTAAGTCAACTCAGAGTTCAGGTTTTAACTCTGAGTTTGTTGAACCTCCTTTCTGGAATACACCCAAGGTTAGGTTCACAAGAGGTTTAGTTTTGTCTTTTACTGGAACCGAAAACCCTGAATTTCCCTTGTCTGGGGTTAACAAACTCTGAGTTTCCAACAAAACCCGCTTTCTGGAATACACCCCCAGTTTACATCAGGTTCACTGGTCTCACAAAGCTCGATATAAATGTTCTGTCAACTCAGAGTTTGAACCAGAGTTTGTGATTAACTCTGGAGCGTGTGAACCTGCAAGTGTGACACACGCAGCAAACAGCCAATCATATGGAGTGTGGAGAGCATCAGCAAAGCGTCATTTGGATTCACTTATCGCGAGAGTCAGTGCAATTCACTTTTATGCTGATGAATAAGAGATGTCGTTATTAAAAATGTAATAAATTTAAATGCATTTACAAGGCAGGAATAAACACTTCTGCTGCAGCAAAAGTTTGGCAACAGAAAGAAAATATATGACTGCAAAGGAATTAACTGAATTTATTTATATATAGTTTCACACAGAGCTCAAAAGAAAACATAAGTTTAGTCATTTCACTAAGGAATTGCGGGCTCTCAAAGTGGAGGGAAGGAAGTTTGAGCGCTTATACAAAAAATCTGGTCTTACTGTCCATAAGTTGATGTTTGATGAGCAGCAGCTGAAGTATCATCTTACCCTTGATTCCGCCAGAAAGGTGTACTACTCACACATGATTAATTAAGGTGCTGATAACCCAAGAAAGTTGTTTAAAACAATTAACTGGTTTTTGAAGCCTCATAATTAAAACATTAGTCCTTCTGTTGAGTTGTGTGACAAATGTCATAAGTATTTTACTGAGAAAGTTCAAGATATCCACAATTCCATTCTTGCTGGTTCTTCACTGCTGACCAATGAGTTCCACTTTACAAATTTGTTATTTAATTTTTCACATTTTGAAATTGTTGGTTCAGATGATATTTTGAAACTGGTCATGTCTATGAATCCATCTACGTGCCTTCTTGATCCTATGCCTATTGAGGTATTGAAACAGTGTGCAACATTCCTGGGTCCCTCTATTACTGCAATCATTAACAACTCTCTATGTACTGGAAAAGTTTCCTCAGTCCTCAAGCTAGCTGCCATTACACCAGTTCTTAAAAAGACTGGTTCTAATGTGGAGGATTTGTCAAACAAACAATCTCATCTTCCATTTTTGGCTAAGGTTCTTGAACGAGTTGTTCCAGCCAGTTACAACAATACCTGTCCATAAACAATATCTTAGAACCCTTTTAATCCGGATTTAGATCAGGTCATAGCACTGAGACTGCTCTAGTCCGGGTTATAAATGATCTTCTCATTTCTGCTGACATGGGGGCTTGTAGTATTTTACTCCTTGTAAAAAGGAATGGCTACTGGTAGCTCTTCTTCCTGGTTGTTAATTTGCCGGTTGATAACAAACCCACTACGGAGCGTCCGGTTAGAGACTTTACCACAGATGATCAGGTATGCGGGAATAACCCATTTATTGTCACCACAAACTCAGTACACTGAAGAAATGTAGTTTTTCATGTTTGTGTGGTTTTCTACAAATTAAAGATAAAAGAAAAATATATAAGTACAAATAACAAATAACAGTGGTCACAATAAATATAACACAATATTTGCACAAAGAATATATTAAATACAGTGATTAAACATTCAAATAAGAAAACAAATGTGCCATTATAAGGGAAGATGCGCTGCTAGAAATTACTAATAATGAGCAGTTGAAATCTGACACCTCTCAGTGCTGAGGACAGAGATGGAGCCGCTCTGTCTAGAACATTAGTGCGCATGCGCCAAAAGAGTGCTTTAACTCTCAGAAATGAGCGATACATATTAAATATATATATTAAATAAACCATATGATGATTAAATGGCAGATAGATTATGTCTTCTAAACATAACGGTAATATATGCGAGGAAACTAGTATGTAAACACAAACGAACATCTTCCACGCTAGTTCGTCTTTGTCACTCGCATACATTAACTTATAAACACTCGGAGCAGTTAAATGTTCACAAACAATGCAGAAAGCAATGGATGAACAGACTGTTACTTACTTTATAGGCACGCACACAACTTTAGCAAAGATAAATCGCTACATTACTGCTAGCATCCGTCCGCTTTCCCGATCGTTGTAACTCAGTTCAGTGGGCGGGACCGCTGACCTGCGCATCCTGCCCGGAGCGCTGATTGGCTCGCGGGATGGATGCTGCGTCTGAGTCGACTGTAGTGTATTGCAAGGGAAACTAAGACATATGAATATAACCTGTGTGTGGCCTTTTTTTACACTCCTGTTAGACATTGCTGCTTTTGACACAATATCTCATGCTGTCCTTCTTGAAAGATTGCATACATGGTTAGGCATCTCTGGTATTGCACTTGAATGGTTTAAATCTTATCTTACAAATCGCTTTCAATTTATCTGTTTGGGTAAATGTCAGTCTGAACCAACATTAGTACAGCAGGGTGTTCCGCAGGGATCTGTACTTGGGCCTATCCTGTTTAGTATTTATATGTTGCCTCTGGGTCAGATCATCAGTTTGGGTTAGGGTTTCATTTTTATGCCGATGATACTCAGATCTATCTCAGTACGCACCCTAATCCTAATCTTACAGTTACAACACTTACTGATTGCTTGGGCGAGATAAAAGCCTGGTTGCACATGAATTTTCTCATGCTCAATGAGTCAAAAACAGAACTTTTGTGTATCGGTATGCCAGCGGCTTTACATAAATGAAATCGTTCTAAAGTGATTACTGATTGTGGCTTCGCTACTTCATCCACCCAAGTACGAAATTTTGGTGTAATTTTTGACCCTCAACTATTGTTTGATGCCCATATCAAAATGATTTCAAAAATTGCATTTTTCCATTTAAGAAACATTGCAAGACTCCGTCCTTTTCTATCATTGCCTGATACAGAAAGGCTCATCCATGCCTTTATTACATCAAGGCTTGATTACTGCAACGCACTTTATGTTGGTCTATTAAGATAAGTCTACCCATATCAAAATGATTTCAAAAACTGCATTTTTCCATTTAAGAAACATTGCAAGACTCCATCCTTTTCTATCATTGCCTGATGCAGAAAGGCTCATCCATGCCTTTATTACACCGAGGCTTGATTACTGCAATGCACTTTATGTTGGTCTCCCTGATAAGTCTATTAAGAAATTACAATATATTCAGAATTCAGCTGCTCGGGTACTAACGCATACAACTGCCCGTCAACATATTACTCTGGTACTGCATAACATGTATTGGCTTCCTATTCAAGCGCGTATTGATTTTAAAATCCTGATGTTAACTTATAAAGCTATTCATCGGACTGCCCCTTCCAGTTTAGTTGCTCCTTATACTCCCGCTCGCTCTTTGCGCTCAGCTGGGTTGTGTATCCTTCAACAGCCTGCATATAAATTAAAAACTATGGGTCGTAGAGCTTTCTCTGTCTCAGCTCCACGATTGTGGAATGCTCTACCAGCCGGAATTAGAGATTTTCCAACTTTGAATTGCTTTAAGAAATTTTTACTTATCTTTTTAAAGTTGCTTACTGTAACTGAGTATGTTTATACTGTTTTTATTGTGTGTTTATCGCTGTGATTTTATTATGTTTGTGGTTGTGCTATGGGTTAAGAAACCCATGCTTGTTGTTGTTACCCATGCTTGCAGTTGTAGCGCTTTGGGTTAAGAAAAGCGCATAATAAATAAAATGCATTATTATTATTATTAAATAAACATTACACTATCAGAAAAAAGAAAAAAAAAACAATTCTATTTTATATTTTTACTAGAGCCCGACCGATATATCGTTTTGCCGATATTATCGGCTGATATGAGCCTGTCGCACATATATCGGTATCGGCGAATATGCCGCCGATATGAATTTTTTTTTTTACAGAGCACATAATGCAGATAAAAGGCTTGGAATTGTGTAATTACTTAGTTTGTCCAGCAGAGCGCACTCTATTGTTTGCTACTGCAGACTTGGATGAAACGCTTTAAAGCTTAGTCTATGGAAAACCATTGAAACTTTGAACGGCCATATCTCCGTAATGGCGCAGCGAATCCGCACCAAATTCGGGGGATCCCTTCAGCTCGAGGAACCCTCTTGTACACTTGAATCGAGTGTACATCTAGAGGCCCGCTTTCGAATGAGACCACCCCCGCGTCGATAGCCCCCGGGGTTTGGGAGTTACCGGTGGTTAAATTCGCGGTCAGGCGCCGACCGATCAAGCGATCCCGGGGGGCTACCGACAATCAGAGGGTGGCGTTCGAGAGGGCTGCTTGAGCTGAAGGGATCCCCCGAATTTGGTGGAGATCCGCCGGCGCGTTCGTGAGATAGTGACAACAGTCAACACGTTCACTTCAGTAAGGAGGTCACTTATTCAGGCAGCAGCATTCAAGCGTTGTCTTGTGCCCTGCGAAATGGACTTCACATGAAATTCCGCCATGATTCCAGTTCCAAGGAAACGTACACGTTACATTCAAAGGGCATTAAAGTGCGCGAGAAGTGAATTTATATTTAGGGATGCACCGAATGTTCGGCAACCGCAGTGTGGAAGCATTTAAACTGTCGGAGGAAGACGCAAAAATCATTACCGACAGCGAGAGACTGTGTAGGACTGCATCGCGTGTCTTCGATGAGAAGAGGAAGGGGTGATCACATACACTGAGTATCGGATCGATGCATCCCTAATCAAAAGGATTTTAAAATTATTAGACAATGCTTAATTGGCAGCCAATGCAGTGTTGACAGAACCTAGGCTAATGGGGTCACACTTCTTTGTTCTCGTAAGAACTCTAGCTGCTGCATTTTGGACCAGCGGAGTTTAAGCTTGCAGGCCAATCACCCAGCAATGCATTATAATAGTCTAGCCTTGAGGTCATAAATGCATGAATGAACTTTTCTGTTTTTGACTTTGAGAGAATAGAGATCTCATTAAATATTTAAAATATAACTGCCTTATTGCAATGTAATGTTGCACTTTTGTTTAGAAAATGTTGCTGTAACTTATTGCTGAAATTATTCATATTTCAACAGATCGGTCTGTCTGAGCGCTCACCAGAGGACACGTGGAGGTCTGTATCTTTCTTTATTATGAACTTAAAGGATTTGCCCCCACCAATTTAGCAAAAAAAAAAAAAAATGTATATATACAGGATACTGTATTTTAAAGACTGTTTTGTAAAATCCAAATAAGCTTTACAGATCTTTATTAGGAAACGTTTGAACAATATTTTTCATGCTTGTTCAAAGAACCATAGACATTTCAGCACATGCACCTTAGGACTGGGCGATATGGCCTAAAATCAAAACCTCGATTAATTGAACACTTTACCTCGAGTACGATTATTGAACGATTATTTTATGTTTTATTTTTATTTTATTTTTTTGCCCTCATACAGGGATGTTAACTTTTTTTTGCACATAGCACTGGTGCTACAGAGGTTGAAAGTTTTGTAGCACAGGCCAAACAGTTGTAGCAGAAGTATAAAACGTCTGTTAACAAATGTCTGAAAACAAACAAGTTCTGAAAACAAGTAATGGAGTTCATCACTTAAACAGGCATTGATGTTCACAGCACAAAAAATACAAACCATCACAAAAATTGTTTTTAGACTAAGTTTTTTTTTATTTGCTAAAAATGGAAGAGTGCAGAAACATAACACCTCTTACACATCAACATTACACATCAAAGTAGAACAGATCTGTGGGCAGACATCACTAAGTAAAAACTCTAACTTAAACACTAAATTTGCAAACTACTACTGTATATATATGGTATACTACTGTATACCATGACACTCCTCTATGAGACTAATGCTCTCAACAGTTGTATCTTTTTTTTGTTTTTTTTGTGTTTGTCACAGATCTAGCATGTCTGCTGGCCACTCTTTTGTATTTGGTCTCCTGGCCCTTTTAGAACAGGTCATCCATTTAGTTGCTACACCATTTGGATTGAATTCCTCTAAACAGCCCTGTCATATTTCATTAAAAGTTTATGTAAATATACTCAACTATTAAAGGTAGGATTTTTTTTTTCTAATAAAAGAGTGCATATCTTATCTTTGTGATTTTAAAATAATTGAAGGAAACAAACTATTTATGGTTATCTGTTGAATATTTTGAACAGCTGAAATCAAAGATTGTTTGAAATGAAAGACGTCTTATGAAAAAGTCACATTTCAGTTTTATTGTAAAACGCAAGTTTACTAAAACTATTATGTAGAACAAAATACATTTTAAATACTGTCATGCGAAAAGTAGAAAATAACTTGAATCTATTGTAAATTAATATTATTTTAAATCATGAAATGTGAAAAGTAGAAAA